TAGTAAATTAATAGTCCGTCCGCAGTCTGTGAACATGTGCTGCTTTGCTTCTGCTGTCATAGTCACTCACATAAGCATACCTTGCAAGCAATGTGTGCTCGATTCTTTTCATACTCACAATCTGTCCTCAAATGAAGTGGCTATTCCTTCGCACTCACATCAAACTCGACTCAGACAAGGTTGAGTTTGTGTGCTCACTTCTATTCGTCGATGATTTTCTCCTTTAATGCGTTTGTGTGTTCACTTATATTCGCGCATGTGTGTCTTCTGTTACAGCGCTTCAATCGATCGCGTGGCCGTTACGTTTGAGCTATGTGACGTCCATCTTGTGCGAGAGGGTATGATCAGGGCGTGCGTGGTGTGGCGGAAGCGTTGCCATGACAACGCCGAGAAGTTTCTGCGCGGGGTGTGTGCTACGCTGGAGGATCTGGAGGGCCACATGAGAGATCGCTTGCAATTGCGAACGGTATGTCATTGGCTGTCAGCAGTTCACAATGGCAGTTGTTGTGCACACATCCAGACAGCAGTCACTTGTATGTAGACACTTACGCAAATACTGCAGTTGCATATGTGTGTAAGAATAACTACGTAAGTGTGTATTAACATCCACGTATGCGTGTATGAATAACTACGTATGAGTGTATTAACATCCACGTATGCGTGTATGAATAACTACGTATGTGTGTATTACCATCCACGTATGCGTGTATTAACATCTACGTAGGTGTGTACTAACATCTACGTATGTGTGGATAAATATCTACGTATGTAGTTTATCATCTATGTATGTGTGTATTAACATCTACGTATGTGTGTATTATCATCTACGTGTGTGTGTATAAATATACAAATATGTGTATTAACATCTATGTATGTTTGTATCAACATCTACGTATGTGTGTATTATCATCTACGTATGTGTGTGTAAATATCTACGTATGTGTATTATCATCTAACATTTACGTGTGTGTGTATTAATATCTTTGCATGCGCCGGTCGCCCTCGTACTCATCGCTTATGCAATATGTAGTATACTCGAATAGTATAAGGGTTGGAGTTTAGGGTTTTAGGGTTTACCTATCAAGCGCTTATTCGCGTCACTCACAACATTCACACGTGTTTTATCTCCAACGCTTACACGCACACATACACACCACAGATGAATGAACTCGTGGTACCGGCTCTCAAGGCCATCCACGACTGCTCACAGCGCGTGTCGTGGCACATCGCAACAGGTATTGGTTTATATGTATACCAATTATACACACCAATCAATATAATAACATTTATAATAGTAAGCGTAG